TATTTGAGTACCCATTTTCTGAAATAAATACTCAAACATATTGCTGCAATCTGATCATTTCAATATATATGTAGTTCAAATTATTTCTACCTAGCACAAATTGTCTATCTATTGTGATACACATGTCAATTGGTTGATAATTCACAAACACACATGGACATCATCTTATCAATGGGACAAACCAAATAGCATTCCGATTCTTGGCTACTGGAATTCAATTCTGTTAATCTAGAAAAAACAGTAGCCAAAATATTGCTATTAACGCTTGTACAATGGTAAATATATACATATCTGTAGATCTGTGTAAATATTTAGATTTCGCTTTGGTTTTTGTGTAACGGGGACAACATTTTGAAAAGGAAAACACACACAACATACACACGAGCAAGACAAACACGGAAAGTCGAAGATGTTTGATAAAAAACAGAATGTAAAACTTCTTCCGGTGCGACAGACGGCAGACTTTTAATAGGCTCAAATATTTAAGAGAGGCGCCATTTGGAAACCGTAAAAGAAAATCCTCCGGTTGAGATTATACTTGAGCATTTGTCTCATATGAAACTCAAGCCTTTTGTTAACCAATTTTCACGTGTGTCCATAATGTAACGCATCGTGACTAATAAGCCACGGGGTGTCCATACAGCCAAACAACTTTCAATTAATGTGAAAAACTTTTGGGTATACCTATGTACATTTATGTAAAAAAAAATACCTAAATAAAAGGTAGATTTGATACAAGTACATTTTGTGCATTTCATGTTCCAAAAACTGAAACTGCATCATTGCATGACATGTGGAAAGTTCAAGTTGACAGGCGGCCAATAAAACTGACAGCATAAATGGATTGGATTAGTCAGTTTCGTGAGTTTTAGTCAAGTCAGCAAATGCATTGAAATGACCAAATGAGAACACATTTTCCAAAAAACAAGAATGTTGCACACCCCCGCAGCCAAAACTGTCACTGTCCCAAAAAGGGGTTAAATGCTAGATAAGTCAATTAGTCCTGCTAGCCAGCACGTTTTTGTATACCCTGCCTGGAGGCATCATAAGTTTATCATAAAACAGAAAAATCTTTTGTGATTTTGACTAAACTCGGTACTGAATAAAATTCAACATGCCTTAGCAAGTTTGACTACCCATGAAAACTATCGTCCAAGAATATTGTGTATTAACAATTTTTGAAATCTTGACAAATTTTAATGTTTGGTTTTTAACACCAATCTCTACTAATTGACAAGATTTATAAACAAAGTTGTTTAAGTATCGAACAAATTATATTGAGATTTGCTACAGTAAGAGTATTAAGCCTTCGAATGACCTCTTTCATATTTGTACACAGTTTTGCTGTTTGACTGACCTCTTGCTTATTTGTCCAGTGGTCAGCTTGCCCTGGGACAGAATTTGACCATCTGCTGACTTGGTAAATAGACGTGCTATCAGCGCATATTGCGAAATGCTGAATGTCCAAATGTCAAATTAGTTAGGCCTGCAGTTTTGATTTAAGCCCAACAGCAGCAGGCCATTTGCCGAGGTGATCAATCACATCGTCACCGAAATACATATTACTTAGATCAAAGCCCGATCGTCCAAAATTGTTGTCTCCGTTATGCCATTTATGGTTGTGATTAGGCCGACGCTGGCTGGCATTGTTGTCGTCTCCGGCTGTTTAAGCAACAATTAAAACAATTTACTTTTAATTGCAATATAATTTTCTATTTGCACTCGAATTAAAGCATATTATCAACAGAGCAACCAGACACCAAACACCACTGCCCAGCACTCATCGGAAGCTCGTGCAGTGCCCGACGTCTGCCCACTTAATCGCCTTTGGCCTCGCCAACTCTTCAGCCCTCCCTCCACCCCTCACAGTAATGCGTGCCCAGAGACCATGCGTCGTCGCTGGTAACTTGTGTGGGGAGTGGTTATTGGGGGGATCTGTGTAAAGTGCCACTGGCGCCTACATATCATAGCATTGATAATATCGTACCAAAATGGCCGCCAATTGTTGAGTCACATTCTTTGTTTTGACTATGCAAAAATAGAAATGCCAGTTTGCGTTTGAGTTTTCCAAATAGATGTTTTACCCAGCAAACCCATTCAACTAATTAACAAGAGGATTGCTTTACAAAACATGCTTAATCGCAGCAATTGTAATTAAGCTAAAATACCCAGAAAACCCATAATGTTATAAAAGTAAGAAGTAGTCTTTGCCAAGAATTATTATTATTATTTATATAATAAACTCTAATAGGACGGCATAATGGAAGGGACAGATAGTCCGATTATATCCCACATATATTCTGCATATCACAGTTGGGCTCAATGAGTTAACCCAGTTGTGATAACAAATCCCAAGAGATGCACACATAACACTTGAGACATTCATTCACTTTCTTTTCACACGAGAACTTATCCAAGTTATGCAAAAGTCAACAATAGGAAGAACGGCGTTAAACCTGCAATTGTAATTAACGCTAGCAGCGATGTTATCAAATTACATTGACTTCTGTTGCCATCTAAACGATGGTGTTTCCCCCCCGTGGCACCCACGCACCCTCGCCCGCACACGTGCAACCCGAACCCAAGCTACTGCTGCTACTGCTGCTGCTGCTGGCTGGCACTGCTGCAACTTCTGCTCTTGTTTACATTGATTGTCAGCAGTGTCACTTAAGCGCCATGCCACCATGCCACCATGCCACCATGGCACCATGGCGCTTAACAGACGCTCAACTGCTCGCTAGCAGCGCCTTCACCCCCCCTCTAAGGCAAACAAACATTGTGCACAGTTTGCTGCCAGCGGAATGGCCTTGTGCATGTGCACAGGGTGAGTCTGGGTATAGCATACTGAATACATATACAGTTACCCGTAGATTTCTCCTACTTACACTGTCAACAGCAGTAGGTATCGCTGGCGGAGACGGCAGCCGCGGCGTCGGCGTCGGCGTCACGTCACCGAGTTGCGTGCATTCAAGTGGAAGCGATCCGCCGATAATGCTCTCTAAAACTAATATTATAAAGTAGATATCGTTTGGCGCCGGACGCGGACGCCAGTAAAAGGCGACAGTGCCGCCAACTGGCCGCGACATGTTTGACATGCCGAGCGACACCAAGCCGCAGCGCCCAGTTGCAGCTCCATTTCCCATGCCCGTAACCCATACCCAATGCACAATACCCAATACCCATTACCCATTACCCATTACCCAAATGCCGGGGCATTGATAACCGGAATGCGACGCTCAGTCGCTGCTATTTGTTTGCTGGAAAATTCAAATGTAGCTCAAGCCATTCACAACATAATCCTTGGGCTTGTTTTCTTAGATATTCCGGTATTTGTGTGTGTTTCTCTCTGTGTGTGTGTGTGTGTGAGTGGGTGTGTGTGCATTACGATAGGAGTTTTGAGTTGGACTTGGATTTTCAACTTCAGCGGCTTATAACCAACCATCCAAGTCAGCTGCTACTGTGCAAATTGAGCCGCAGTGGCCACCATCTGAATCCGCCAATTGACTTCTCTTTTGCCGGGGGTGTCATAAATTCATCATTCATTCGCGTGCTCGTGTGGACGGCATATATATGTTTGTATAATATATATATATTTTGTTATTATTTATGATATCGCCCATTTGATTTATTGTAGCCAGCCACCAATTGCCTAAAACCCAGTCGAATGCAGAAAACAAAAACGGGACTACTTACGATCGTAATACTTAATATTGTTGTTCATACTTAGGGGTATTAGTTGAGGCTCATTCAGCTGCCGGTCACCTTTTAACTTGCAGGCTAATCGGCCGTCCAATAATAATGAACACTTATGTGTCTTTATTGCTACTTAATGCTTATTAATTGATTTATGCGAATGAAACACTCATTTCGATTTATGATTGTGTGAAAAGGTTTTTTTACGAGCCCCAATTGCTCTCATTGGTGCATATACAGAATAAATCGTTCCCTTTGCCCGATTATCCCAAATGAGTATCATTAATATGAATAAAATGATTTCAAAGTTATCGCGAATTATATTTGAATTTATATTTATTATTTATATTTATATTTCTTTAAATTATTTTCGCTTAACGTTCTACTGATTTCATAAGAATTTTTAAAATGTGAATGTAATTATGTCGAAACTTATTTAAACATCTATTTTAGTTTATTAAGGATTAGGAATTTTCTATAACTCAATCAGTTCATGGGAAAACTATAATACGATAATATATTTAACATTTGTTTTATTTTAAGCCCATTGCAAACAATTTATTTTCGAAAGCTTACTTATATTCTTATTATTACTTATTTTATTATTGTTATTAGGAACTAGTTAAAGTTCTTAGACCTTTTCCAGTTGAATGGCAACAACAATTATATGCTCATTTTCTTTAAATAAAATTCTATTGATATCAGTTTTTAACACGTCTTATATATTTCCTAAAAAAATAACCAACTAGTCAAACACAAATAAATAAGGAACATAATTCTTGTTGCCACCCACAATTATGATTCGATTTTGTCTAAGAAAAAGTCAAACCCGCTGTCAGGATAATCCCAATATTTTCAAACAAACCTATTAGGCACATTAAATCCTTCTATGGAAAAGGCACAGATTATTTTCATCATCGTCGGCTTTAGCCACGGGGCGCATGTCAAATTATGAATAAATGCAAAATCACGCAAAGAGCAAAAGTCAAAGGCACGTCCCAAAAAACAAAAACAAAATAATAATAATAACAACAGCATCACACACACACACACAGGCAAGAACACACAGCTCAATGCCCAAAATGATTATGGTTAGGGCTCGAGATCGGACAGAGAGAGTGAGGGTCTCCGTCTCTCACACTGATTAGCTGCGACAGCTAGAGATCATCGCCAGGGGATCACTCCAGCTCAAGCAAAGCGAACGCACAAAACCACAACAAATGCCAAGGCAACTGAATGACGATTTCTTTCTTTCTTTCTTCTCATTCCTCTCTGGCCCTCTCTGACCCGCTCCCGCCTCCTTGCAGCACCGAAACTACCTGCCAACATCAACAACATGCACGATTACCAGCTCAATGGTCACCTGGACATGTGCCGCGGCAGCAACGTTGGCGGCAGCGCCGCCGTCTTGCCCATCCAGAATCCCCTGCTGATGTCTAACAATGCGAGCGCGGGCAGCGCATCCAGCGGCCTGGGCGTGGGCCTATCCAGCGGCAACGGTAGTGCTAGTGGTGGTGGTGGTGCTGCCAGTAGTTCCGTTGGCCTCGGCAGCTGCTCTCTCTCCTCCACGAACAACTCGGGACGCACTAACTTCACCAACAAGCAGCTGACCGAACTGGAAAAGGAGTTCCACTTTAATCGCTACTTGACTCGCGCTCGCCGCATCGAGATTGCCAACACACTTCAACTAAACGAGACGCAGGTGGGTCAAATAACCGAAGAAAAAAATATCTTAATTTAATTTAAACTAAAAGCGACATAAGATTATTTATGCAAAACAGAAAAGAACATAATTAATTAATCAAACGAGTGCAAGGGTATAAACAAATGGAGGCAGGTGTTGGCCGCTTCATGAGACTTGACATAATTATAAGAAATTCCTAGTCTTCGACAAATGTGCTCATTTAAGAAATCACATGAAGACTATGTGTCCAAAAGTGCTTTCTTTTGAAAATCTGTTCAATTTTCTGGCCAATTATTGATTTTGGCGAGTTCCAACTAAAATCATTTTACCATATTTAAATGTAGTATTGATCTATACGCTGACACATAATAAAAAAAACGAATTTTCTTTTGGAAAATCGGTTAGGTTTTGTGATAGTTATGGCTGAGAAAAGATTTATGATCTCTTAGGATATAACTTTGATTCAGCTTCAAATTTATCTAAAATCTCTATTCAAATTAGATTTGCATAATCTAAACTTTTTATCAATGAATTTAAATGAAATTTGAAGCCAACTAATGTTTCTTTTCCACTTGCCACACAGGTCAAAATATGGTTTCAGAATCGTCGCATGAAGCAGAAGAAGCGAGTCAAAGAAGGTCTCATTCCGGCGGACATTCTTACGCAGCACAGCGCACCCGTGATAAATGAAAAGCAGTCCCAGCAGCAGCAGCAGCAACAGCCCCAACAACAACAACAACAGCAGCATCAGCAGCAGCAACAAAAGCTGGCCGAGCTGAGCGCTCCTGAATTGGCCAGCAATGAACTGCCAGCAACAGCAGCAGCACCAGCAACAACAGCAGCCAAACAGAGTTGAACAATTTGCAATGTGGCTGTTGTTTTTGTTGCTGTTGTTGTGGTGGTTGTTGCCGTTGTTGTTCTTCTTATTGTTGTTGTTGTTTATTCTTTGTTGTTATTATTATTATTATTATTGCTGTTGTGTGAAATTGCCAAATGTCGACCGCATTTTGTTGTGATAAATAATTAGAAAAAGGCAAAAAATTAAAAAAGAAAAATAATAATCATAATACCCAATAAAATAAATAAATTATGTCATACTTGTAGAAAAATGTGCATACTGAAAAACCTTAAATCTAAAATCTAAACCATCGTTAGTATTTTGTACAAAACTTAAAATCAAATGCTAGCATCTGTCGAGTCAAGAAAACTTATATGATGTTTTTGCCAAGGGGCTGTAAATATTAAGCAAAAAGGAAAATGAAAAACTTACCATTGATGCTGCAGCTGAAATTTAGACTAGAATTAACTAAACTCAGGGTTATATATACTACTTTCATACTGTATCACGCAAAGCAATTGATTTTCAACTAAATAAATGCAAAATGTAAAATTCAAAAGAAATGTTAAACTAAATCAAAATCTATATGAAATCAATGATTACTTCATAATCCCAATAGCATTGTAATGTCCTCGTACTCCTAATCGATGTAGTATAAAAATTGTTCGACTCTAAGCAAGGCCTTCTACGATACAAGAACCAGAGTTATTTGTTTTGTGTTTGAACAAATTGGTATTCAATCTTGATGTATGTACTATTATATATATATATATATATATATATATATATATTTATATATATAAATATATTTAATCTAGTCCTAATTATAATATAATTATAACTGTACAACACAAAACAGATACAAATAAATAATATAATTTGAAAATTATTGAGTTTTTATTACATTTTTGTTAACTGATTTTAAGCAATATAAAGTGTTTTAAATGGTCGAAGCCGTCAAAAAAAAAGAATAAGCTTTCAGGAGCAGACTCCAGCCTCTTCAAACTCATAATATTGATGCGTTAATTGGTAAATTAATATTTTAAGTCTTAGAAAAAGAATTAAATATACATGTTAGTAATCAAGAAAAATTGTTTGCTGCAAAATGTTTCGATTTCCTCACATTTCGGAATTTGAAATTTAAATTTCCAATGCCACAGGCCGTGTATGTAGATTTAAATCTTATCAATATAGTTTTGATGAATTAGGGGATTACAAAAAATGGTATCATAGTGGTTCGTTATATCACATGTGTACAAAATTAAAATAATTTTTTTTTTTTGGGGATTTGCCGCTGGTCTGCTTTGATATTTTGACTAATTTGCAAATGGGAAAAACAACGAGCAAAATTCATCAAATGCCTTCATCAAAGTCGGTTTGCATAAGTGATAGATATGATTTTAAGACCACTTTAAAAATGGCTGATTCATGCAACGAACTCTATTAAGCAATCAATGAATTTTACATACCAATATTAAATGTATAAAAATTACATACATATATGAAAAGTGTATGTGTCAGTTAATAATAATTGTAAAAGTAGTAAACACAATCACTTGGTTAAATATTTATACTCTTAAATGACAATCTTTTAATAAATGAAGAAGGATTTTCTATTTAAATATTGATTGTATACACACTGAATTTAATCGAATATACTATCGATACAGTAATCGATAATTTGAAAATCGAGTTTCGCAGGGCAGCAAGGGCTTATTTGCTGATTTAGTTTTTTTTCGATTTGCAACTACGGTCACACTCTGTAGAGAGTAAGCTAAAGTTTTAAATTATCAAACTCAAAATGTGGGTAAATCAACATTTACGAATGTCTTTGACGCCATTGCAGAAAATTCCGGCAATTATCAAATATGGCTTTATTAACACAAAGTTTGGGCGAATATTAATTGGGCTAACGCCAATTCAAAAGGCCGGCAAAAGCTGCGACGCAATTTGCCTGTTGAATTTCGTGCAAAATGACGACGATGAATCTTTCGAAGAAATGCGTCAACGCTGGCCAAAAGCTGAACTCAAACAGGATGCAGTGGCCATTGAAATGTGCAGCAAGGTGGTATTTGACGAAAAGGAAAATGCCGCTGTTATTGATATAGCCATTCGGGGAACAGATCTTCAGTTGTCTGTTTGGAATGAACTGGTCAAGTTGAAGTCTGGATCGACATGCACCTACTCAGAGCTGGCCGAACTTGTGGATCGACCCAAAGCCGTACGGGCTGTGGCCAGTGCCGTGGCAAGGAACCCTGTGACGATACTAATACCCTGTCATCGCATTGTCTCCAAAAATGGTGCATTAAAATACCACTGGGGCGCAGAGCTGAAGAGCGCGCTTTTGGATTATGAAGCATTCACATAAATACGGAACTTGATTCATTTGGATAATATACGTATTTAAAAATTCTTTTTTATTGAAATTCAACTCTGGACTCTTTTAATTTGAACCTAATGTGTTGTTATTCTTTGTGTGGGGGGTGTGTCTTATAAAAACAAATTACAAAATGCACATCAAATTGGATACACGTAGATCAACTGAAATGCAAACAGGCTCGAGATTGTGCAACATCTTCTTCATCCTTGGCATCACATTGCCCGCAGATCCTACTTAAATTGTAACTAGCTTATGTACGGAGTGCTACTATTCTCGATGCAGCAGCACGAATATTGCCAGAATCGAAAGTATAGCCCACTGCAAAAATCAAAATAACAAACATTAGTTGATTTAACATATAGCTTGCCTCATTTTCTACTTACCTTAACTTTCGGGTATTCGTTCATGAAAATTGTGATGATTCCCACGTAGGGCAGGAACCCTCTGGCACGACCCACAATATCTCTTTTAGTGAGCCACAGCTGGCCCGGCGCATACAGTCCTCGGTCATCGACGTTGTTGTTGTCGCCCTTTGTCAGAAACTTGACGGTGCCGTCTTCCCTGTTATATTTATGCGCAATTACTAATTGTTTAAATGAGAACCACACAAACAATTGAATCATACTTTTCGTGCAGTTTGATGACACGATGCACAATGGGTATGTCGCGTCCCTCCACCTTGAAGACCACAATCTCGCCCACACGCACCGGCTCCTCCTTGTAGTTGGTAAGGAAGAGGAGGTCGCCGCGATGAAATGCCGGCTCCATGCTGCCACTCAGCACAACAACAATTGGGGATTCGCTGCCGGTCACTACCATCAATCCCTTCCATATCATCAGCGCCGAGGAGACAATCATCGCAAAGCTCAGCACCTGGTACAGTGACTGAAATGGATTCAAATTTAGTAACGCGAGCTTGGCTTGTAGGCGGCGCCTGCTGCTATCTACCTGACGCTTGTTCATTCGATTGAAGTCGCCCAGCATTTCATCCACTTGCAACATACTGGCCAAGCCCATGGTTGCAATTTGGTATTTGCTTTACGCTTTCTTAAGAACAACAAATGATCAATTCTTTGTCGCAAAAAGATTTTTCACTGTAAGTTCCACGAAGGCAAAAAAATTACAGGTTGTATATCGCCGGACATACGACGCGTTAGTCCGACACGTCAGTAGGGATAACAGTGTGACCGCGTCAATAAGCTACTAAAATCCCACAATTAGTCCCAATAAATACGTGAAACGCACTCAAACGCACTATCGAGTACAAATGCACGTTTATCAAAGCAGCTGTGATGTTATGGTTCGTTTATTGAATTCAAATTTATTAGCGGTCCTTACTTAAAATTAGCTCATCTTTTTTTATTAAACCATAGTGGCGACTATTGCGCATGAGCAAAGCAAAAATTTAAGTTTATACACAAAACTTCAAAGATAGAATCGACAATATTAACGACAACAATTTAGGGAGCTATGTTAATACCAATTTGGGCCAATGTTAAAGTTTAAGGGTGCCCAAAGCCGATAAAAAAAAAGCAAAGCTGAAGCACAGCAACACTGCTTTTCACGATATTTTGAAATCCATATTCGTACATCGGTGTGCCCGGTTTGCACGCATTCTTCGCATATTTCACGGCATTATAAAAAAATTATAGCAAGAATGGGTGATAAACTGTTGGACACAACACAAATTATAAATGGCTTGGCTGTGATGATATCATTTTTCGTCGGTTACAAATATGCCCTAAAGCGTGGCGAGGCTTGCGCAAAAATTGACGACACACCGTCAACAGCGGGTCACGAAGAAGAAGGAGCAGCTGCCCCAATAGCCGACAAGGTGCAAATAAAGACTAGCAATAGCAATATATAGTTTTACATATATGTCATGTGTATATATAAAACGTGCGTATTTACAGACCGTCATGGGCTTTAACGACAACTATAAAATGGTGCTGGTCGTGCGCAACGACCTCAAAATGGGCAAGGGGAAGATAGCTGCCCAGTGCTCCCATGGAGCCGTTGGGGCATACCAAAGAGCTGTGACCCGCACACCACGCCTGCTGCGTGCCTGGGAGAACTGCGGCTGTGCCAAGATCGCTGTGCGCGTCGAAAACGAAGCCGAACTGATGGTAATCAAACGGGCGGCGGAACAATCCCATTTGAACACGTGCCTCATACGCGACGCTGGACGCACCCAGATCGAGCCCAATTCAAAGACTGTGCTGGCAGTGGGTCCCGCTGCTGCTGTCGACATCGATCGCATCACTGGCCATTTGAAGCTATTGTAAGGTTTAATAATCCATCAGCCGCGATGCCCCTTGCCTGCCTGCCCAGCTGAACTAGCGTGCAGAGCAGGCTGATTGGAATACCCTCAATTCTCAATACAATGTGGGGAGCATGTGGTGTGCAAATCAACCACCACACTGACTGTGACATGCAAGTTAATTTAGGATCTACTACTTTATTGCGTTTATTGTAAAACTGAGCGATTACTACATATTAAATTCCTAGTGGTGAAGCTGTCTCTTTCTTAACTGAAATCCTTGTTCAAATCTTGTTACTGATGCTGTTGACTCTTTTTCGCCTCGGCACAATCGTCTATAACAGTCCTTGGTATCTCATGCCACTTCTCGGGTATGACTTTCAACAACTCCTCCCTCACATCGCCCTGTATGACAATCTCATTGTCACCGGTCACCGAACAGCCGCAGGCAAATTTACTCCCAAAGAACTTGGCCGCTGCCCGCAAATCGATCTTGTATGCAGCCAGGCCGGCCACAATGGTCACCCGTTTGTTCTTGCTGCGAGTCATGCAGGAGAGGCAAATTGGTTTGGGTGCTGCATCATCATCGACGCAGTTACCCTTCTTGATGCGCAGCATTCCCTTGCCGCCACGCTTCTGCCTCTTCTTGTCCGCATCCAGGCCAGAGGCAGTTGCTGCCTCCGTTTCCCTAAGCATCAGTTTCTCATATTCTTCGGGGCAGTTTCTTGCCAGCCACTCTTTGCACTTGTCATACTCGGAATAGAACTCACAATACTCGATGGGCATGGAACAGTGTCCGCAATACTTGACGACAATGGGGTATTTGTTGTTGGTGTCCAATGACTCAACGCACTCGCCCATTTGGCTTTAGGTTTTTTTTTTGTTCTCATAAATGTAATTTTCAACCGAACGATTTTTAACGTTTAGAATTTGATACATATAAACAAGGCTTGCCTCGAAAAATAAGCGCCTTTCGAATAATAAATATTTACTTCCATCGGTAGTAACACAAAGGCATTTTTATATTGCAATTTGTGCAGCAACAACAACAACAATAAACAAAGAGATTGATTAATAAGCTAAAATTTGTTAGGCTCCCAGGCAATAAGATAAATATCACATTTCAATGCTGATCGCAAAAATAAAAAGCAATTCTTAAATTCAAATAGTATTACAAGGAAATACAGTAGATTGAATTAAAACAGCAGAATGTTCAAATTGAACACTCATTTATTAAGTAGGGAATTATAAATGTTAAAGCCTGGCTTAAATATAAAAATATTATTACATTGAATTGTCGTGGACAGTCCAGTTGCAAATGAATAATTTCACTTTTTCACTTTATAGACTTATGACTAAAAGAGAAGAATATGTTGTTGCAAGCAATGATTATTAAATCAATACGAACGCTAAAGTCTAAAAAGTTAGCCAGTCGTAATCATTTTCCGCTTGCTGAGGCGGTTGCTCCGCCTGCTGTTGGATGAGCTGCGGTGGCTGGGAGTGCAGTTGCTCCAGCTCCTGGGTGGGCTGAAAATCTGCTTGCTGCGGCTGATAGTCGACCGGCTGCACTGGCTCATTGGATGCATCCAATTGATATATTTGCGATTGCTGCTGCTGCTGTTGCTGATGCTGCTGCTGCTGCTGATTATGATGATGGTCAGTAAGTTCGGTATCATCAAAGACTTCCTTCTTAATGCGCACGCCGCCATCATCCTCTTCGTCGCTCTCCGATATGTCCAGATCCTCATCAATGCCCATTCCATTGTCGTTGCCCGTCGTGGCCAGTTCCTCATCCTGTGCAGCCATGTTAGCCGCTGCGGCGCTGGTGCTGGCTTCGGGCGGATTGTATTGCCCATTGTCGTCCTGATACTGCGACATGAAATCAGAGAAGGCGCCCGGTGCATTGTAGTTCTCTGCATAGCTTTGGCGCGGCTTGTGCATGGCCAGAAAATCGGACGGATCATAATTGGGATCAACATCCATGGACTCATCTGCAAAATGAACGAAAGACAATAAGCTATGGCTTCAGATGGGACAGAAGGATGGTGGTATTTTTGAAATAAACAAGCCGTGCGCTTTGACTATGCGTATTTAATAAGAAACATTAAAAGGGCAAGAGAATTTGTTGGGTAATATGAACCTTGCTGCTGTTGAGCGTAGTAGCCAACGCCACTCAACTGCACCATAGCTTCAGCCGCTTGCTGGCTGTCATCCTCGCCGCTTTGCTCCTCTATTGTTAAATGATGAACGCAAACAGCAAAAGTAAATACATGAATTGAGAAACAGAATCCAAGCACACAGAGAAAACATTTAGATTGAAGAGTCGAAAAGTCGAAAAGTCGAAAAGTTACGTAAATCATATTGAAGATAAACAATCAATCAAACATATGGTCAAAGATTAGATGTAAACTTAAGACAACCACAACCACACACACACACACGAAACACATAAATGTGCACATTTGGATATAATCAATCGATTCACCCACCTGCCATCTGTTCCGTCTCGATGTCAATCTCCGTCTTGATGTTCTTGGGATCAATGTAGTCCATGGTATCGCTGGGCGCATTGATGCGCTCGCCTTGATCCAAAATATTGGCCGCATTGTTCTCATCTTCAGACACTTCCTGGAAGTCCTCCTCATCATCTTCATCGTCGTCCGTGGAGCATTGCAGATCTAACATATCGTTCACAAATTAAAAGTTATAGGCGTTTATTAACATTGAGTACTTGACAATTAACAATTACCAAATAACTGAAAGAAACTCGAATAAATTAAGGCAAAACATTATAAAAAATGATTAATTTGTTTCGTTAAAAATATAAACAAAGTGGCATTAAATATTTTCAGAGGTTTTTCGTTTATGTAGATGTACTCATTAATTTCCATTCCATTCATTAATCGATCAAATATGGAATATATAATATGGTTAGTTTAAAATATTAGAAGTTTTTCAAAAACTAATTCAGTTTTAACCAAGCTAAGTAATTCATATAAAAGACTTGGCATAGTCACAAAGCAATTTTGAAAACATTTTATTGGAAAACGGGTGACGTTTTCTTGTGAACCATAAATAAATGCATTTTTAAATGCTGAAAAAAACGAAATATAAAATGTACAAAACATCAGGACTATAAATATTCGGGCAAGTGCTAAATGAATGTTTAATTAATGTAATAAATGTATGTAATTAAATGAAATACAGTCCAAACCAATGCGAAATTAAATATGAAAGCTTTTGTTGATGTGTGTGGGCGCTGATTAGTGTGAGTGTGTGTTGAAAGAGTATTTTGTAATAAAAATGTGCTAAAGTCAAAATTAATTTGGAGGATGTGTGTGTTGTGTGTGTGTTGTGTGCATTTGTTGAGTGGGTGGGTGGGTGGCTTAAAGCTGTGGTACGCATGGTTATTGCGCATGGTATTAACTCCGTAGATGTTGGGCTTACCTTCGTCCAGAAAGTAAGCTTGTGTCTGACTCATATTTGAGGCAAGACTGTCCTTCCGGGGACGACCCCGACCACGTTTAATCGGGTTCGAGTTTTTGACTAGAAAATAAAAGTTAGCAATTGCGTTTTTTTTTCATAGAGTAGATGACGATTAAATAGTATACATTGAAATCGGCTTGCAATTATGAAATTTCCATTGTTGTTTATTTTTTTTTGTTTTAATTATTTTTTTTTTTTTTGATTTGAAATAACGAAAATGTTGACAACAAAAATAATCACGAGCAAATAATTGCATTGTAGTTAAACAGCGAGCACATACATTTATCTGAAGCAAATTTGCAAATGTGCATTTCCCTACAAACGGCATAGAGTCTTCTATAATCGGGTGAAGTACGTGTATCTTTTATCTATCGCATTGCAATCTCAGCTACACACACATGAGCAGACAGGGGGGGTATGTGGGGGGTACGTGGGGGAAGCTGACTTAGTAAATGACTTGTGTAAAGTGTTTGATATCCATGCATTTCAAGCAACAACCACCAGAATCCTACAACAAACATATCCTTTGGTGATCTTAAACCTATTTAAATTTTGTATCTTAAGGCAGACTATATCTAAATTGGATCTCAGCTAACCTTAACCCAAAAGCAATTTTTTTTTTTTTTGTTTTAGCATCAACAGCAGAGTCGATTTAACCAAGGCCGTCTATCGGTCAAGTCAATCCTAAGCACTATAAGAACTGGAGACATATAATATACAAATCGTAATTACAGGCAGGTTAAGTTCATTAAATTTAGCATTTGAACTACAACAATTGCATTACGACTGGATAAGAAACACTTATTTTGCTAAGCAAAGCGTATTTTCATAGTGAACTAATTAGAATCAGCAAGTCTACCATAAATTATAAACAGCTGGATGCAGGGTATCTCCTAGTCGAGCGATCTAGCTTGTTTCTACCAATATATGGTTTTAGCATCAGTTAATTTAAGAGTACTTTACGCACTAAAAATACAGTTAAAGAACTACAACAATAGTAAACTGCACCTAATATGCAAATTGAACTAATATTAAATGGCACAAGACTTGTTTAAATGTTAATATTTCGTGTTGACTTGCATCAAATTAACTATAATCAATACTAATATAGAAATATTTTAATTCCTTAGCTATCGGTTGTTAAATTCATTGATTAATTTTGGGATTAGTAATAGCAATTTGAGCGAACGCTGTGGACCGTAACCAGTGTTTTGTGTAACAAGCATATGTACATATCCTTAGCTAATATTCTTCATATATACACATATATATATTATATATATATATAGATGAATATGCAGGAATATACATGAAGAGGCATGAGCATTAACAGTAGTAAGCAGGACCAAGGGAAATGTATGTATGCACTTATGTAATTATGTGAATTGATGCAAGACCAGTTCCAGTTCGATCACACGAGTATTAGTATGGTATATAATATATAGTATCGTTGCATATGGAATATGGGATGTGACATACCCTCCTCCACGGGATCGCGTTGCTTGCGTGGACGACCGCGTCCTCGTTTCACCTCGCTACCCGATGGTGTCGATGGCTTGCGCAACGAGGTCATTGTGTGTGAGAGATTATTATCGGCGCCCATGCTGCGGTGTATGGAATTGGCGGGCACAAGTCCCAGTCCGCCGTGGCCCTCCACATCAATGTAATCATCGCTAGGCGAACTGGCGCGACTGCGAGACAAATCGGTCTCATCATTGCCCCAGGCCTCTTCGAATTCGGGTGCATTTGCCCTGGCCTGCTCCTGTGTCTTCTTTATGTTCTCTTCCAGCTGCGAGCAGTGATCGGCCACCTTTTTTAGATACGGCATGTGATTAGCTATCTTATTCTTTACGTGAATTCCAAAGCTCAATGCAACTTACCTTCTGCAGCTCTGAATGCGCATGCTCCACTATCTTCTTGGCATTCTTGGTGTATTGGGCCTCGCTGCCATTGTACTGCTCGCAGTTGGAGGCAATCAGATCGATATCCGCCAGATATTCGGCGCGACTGTGGTAGACATGATCTGGAAATGGGGTATAATATTGTTTCAGTAATTTGTTGTAGGTTAGCATTTGGGTGAGTAGTAAACTTACTTTCAATATTCTTGAAAATAGTTTCCAAATCCATGGGCTTCTTGATGACTGTGTAGTAGTCCTTGATCGCCTTCTTGTTAACGGGCTTGTGGAATGGCCAGCTCTCTGGCAGTAATCGGATCTGATTGTGCAACCTTTCGAAAATGAAGGAGAGTGCGACCTGATCGTCATCATCCAGCAGCGGATTGATGGCCTTCTCCAGCCGCATTAGTTTATCCTCGCGTTCCGACAACAGCTCAAAGCAGCTGTTGAACATGCCACGCGCGGCCACGGTGAAGGTGTGCTGTGGTCCATTGTAGATCGCCGAGTTGTTCTCGATCAGTTTGAGATCCTCAAGGAACAGTTCGCGGCTGGTGTAGCGTCGCTGACGAATATACTCGCGCATCGTCTGCAGATCCATGGGCTTCTCGATCACTCGATAATAATCCGGCACGCGTTTCGAACTGACCGGCACCAGAAATGGTGTAACGTCCGGCATGGAGCGCAGCTCGTTTAGTATGTGCTCCAGTATGGAGGAGAGCACCACAACCGGATCGGTGCGACGCCGATTGGCCGTCTTGTTGTGGCGCTGCAAATAGTCGCAGTGCACATCATTGGCCATGCGCCGCTTCTTCTTGCCCATGGCATCCTTGGGCACCTTGAGCGTGAGGCCGCCCCGCCGCTTGGCCTCGTCTTGGGATTGGCCGTGTCGCTTGAGCACTTTGCTGCTTAGCGTCACCTTGATGCCATCCACGTTGGCCAAATCGTCGTCGTCCATGTTTGTCTCTTTCTCGCTGTGCTCGTCCAGATCGTCGGCCAACGAGGGATTCGACTGCGACAGACTGCTCTGCATGCCCGTATACAATGGACACGCCTTATTCGTTCGCATGTGACCAACCTGGCCGCAGGCGCCACACTTCAACTTCAGATCCGGTTTCAGCTTGAACTTTTTACGTGACGGACTCACTTCCTTGTGACTGTTATCGCGCTCCTTGTGCGCATGCCCGCCTGAGCTCTTGGGATCGCCCAGAGAGGTGGGCATGCCGCCCGGTTGGAGTTTCTGATTCTGCGCGAGCTGAGCGAGACGTTCGCGCTCCTGATTGCGCTTGATGCGACGCAGCTGCTCCTGAATGCGCCGCTTCTCGCGCTTCATCTCCTCCTTCTGCTGCTCGTCGAGCGTCGCGAACTGTTTGATGAACTGCTCGTCCTTGGTGGTGCGTATCTTGGTGTATGCATCGATGACCGCCTGGCGGCGCACCGTCTCCACGCGCGTAAACTCCTTACCGTCGGTGCCCTTGAAGGTGCGCGTTATGCGCAGGATGCGTCCCTGATTGCTGTTGTTCAACGGTTGCTGTGTGGCATCCTCTTTCGCCTTGGACGCCTTGCTGGCCCCATCGCCTTGCTCTTCAAGCTGGCGCAGCAGCTCCTGACGCTCCTGCTCCTCGCGCTCCAGCGACAACTGTGTGGATGTTTTCTTGTTGGCCAGCATATTCTCAAGATTCTTACCCAGTTCCTCCAGATCAGACTCCTCGGAAGCAGAGGACTCGTCATCGTCCGTGGACAGCACTTCGGAGCTGGCGAGCACTCGATTCTGTAGATCGAATATGCGCTGACACTCCTCCTTGTAGCGTTCCTGATGCTCGGCGATGGAGAAGCGATTGCCTCGCGAAAATTTGTCCATGCCCTCCTCGCCGGCCTTGGCCTTCTCCGTGGACAAAGTGCGCACCACATCGATGACTTCCCAGCGTGTCAGCTTCTTGATCTCCTCCTCGGGCACTTTGAATTTGCGCAGCAGCTCCTTGGCCCGCTGCAGCGGCAGGCGTCGCAAATCGGCATCGGTGCCGGTTACCGAGCGCTTCGGCTGCGATTCCTGCACCTCTTTCGATTGCTATACACAGATTTTTGGAATCAATATTCAGCTAGATAAAGATAAAACATTAATTTCCAATAACGCACCGTTGGCTTGTTGGGCACGCGCACATAGGAGAAGCCTTCGCCACAGCCCGTCGGATCGGCTGGGCCGCTGAGCTGCAGCAGGCACTTGCCACGCATGGCCTGAATGTAGGCACGCGTGGTGTTCCAGGGCGCCACCTTGACCTCATCGTCGAGCAGCTGGGCCTCCTCGTCATCGTCCTCTTGCGGCGCAAACAGCGACTTCTCACCATAACCAGCATCCTACAAATGCGATTTATACATATATCGGCACATATATAAATGATATTCTTGTGGCCAGCTCACCTTCAGGCGCTGCTCGGCGGCAATCATGCTGAAGTAGGCGCAGCACTGTTCCGGCGACACCATGGCTCGTATCTCCTCCTCGGAGGGCAGTCGAAACTCTGGCTTGATCACCCACCAATTTGAATCCATACCCGTGCGCTTGAAATCGGCGCATTGCTTCAGACGCTTGCGTATGCTGCTCTCCGAGTGCGCCGGAAAGGCGCGCTTCACATCGTCCATGCGTATGCGACGTGGATTGTCGCGACTCTTCCAGAACAGTCGATAGATGAACACCTTGAAAGCGATGATGATGATGATGATCATGTCTTGAACACATTACTTGAATCAATCTTCAGTCAGCAATTCTTGCATACCTGTAAAAAGTCACGGGTAAAGTTGTTGGCCCGCTTCGAGTTGGGTCCGGGCACCTCATACAGTGGACACTCCTGTCCAACGGTGAAGATGGCGTTCACCACACGTATCCAATAGCTGTTGCGCGTCCGTATGATCAGGAAATCGTTGGGCGCCATCTTATGGGGATAGATGGGTGCTCGGTACATGTTGTTCTCCAGCGCCTGTATGCACTGTCCCTGATGTAGTATGCCCAGAAATGGACTGGTGTGAGCGAAGGCCACCTCACCGTACACATAGTCCTGCGGACCGCTATCCTTTTCGGCCTTGCGCTTGTAGTAGTTCTTAATTTTCGAGCACATGCCCACCTGGCTCATCAGCGGTGGATGCTCTTCGCAAAACTCGGTCAGTACTATGTCACCATCCTTGCCGCTTAGATCCTCGGGATTGCGCATAAAGAACACGTCACCGCCACCGGACGCAATGCGCTCAACTTCGCGCTGTTTGGCCTTCTTGGCAATCAGCTTGAGCAGCGGATGCACCGGATGCGATATCGTCTGCGCTAGCGGTCCGTGAGAGAACTTCTTGAGCGGCGGCCGGTGGAAGGAGCGAAGTTTCATCGGACCCATGTGCGTGGGCACAAACGGAGCACGCAACTCCACAACCGGCGTCGAGTGCTGAATAAGATTGCCACCGCCCACTTTAAGGCGCAGCGTCGGCTCCGTTTTGGGTGTGTAGTAGCTGCAAAAGGAAACCAAAATGAAGCTGGGAACTCAGAGCTCCGAATAGAAAGGCTTACGAGTCATTGGATATGTTGAAGGGATCGCGATCAGGGCTTTTGGGCGGTGGTGGTGGCGTGTCCTCGGCCAGCACATTAATAACGCCCGCCTTGCCCAGCAGAATCTTTGACTTCTTCACATGAGGATGTGGTATCTTAATCTTGGGCGGCGGTCCGGTGTTCTTGTTAATCTTGGATGGATCAATGTCATCGGGTATGCCGAGTATAATGTTCTCATCATTGGGATCCAGAGTCAAGACCTTCGGCTTGGGCACACGATTCATTTGTTGGGCATCCCAGATCACCTCGTCCTCCCACTTGTGGTAGATGAGCTCCTCGTTCTCCACAGGAAACAGACTGTACCACGTATCGTCGAAAACCTCCACTTGTTTATTCTGCGCCGCACTGCAAGTCAGAGAAAGAGTTAAAACCACATGACATGCTCGAATAGGGAATGGATCAAAGTTACCTCTGGAGTGCTTTTTTGGTTGAGCCACTGGCAGAGTTGGTTTTGCCGCTGTTGCCGCCACTGTTGCCACCGCTGCCCACCGGCAGCGCCGTCTTGCCCGGCTGACCAAAGGCGCCGGCTGTGCGGGATCCGCTCGATGGCAGCCAGCCGGCTGCATTTGTCTTGGAGTTCAGTTTCTGCAGCACCTTTGCCTTGATATCGTTGCCATCCCAGACGACATCGTCCTCCCAACGCAGCTGGGATACCATTAAGAATGCATCGTCTGCCAGGCTGACATCCCGATCCGCTGCCTCATGATCAGCACTCGCTGCCTTGCGATCGCTATTGAACTTGGACAGGGCCGAGGATGATGCCGGCTGCTTCGTCTTGAAGCCATAGTTGAAGCCGTCGCCCGAGTCGGCCACCTCGAGCATGTCATACCAGATCTGCGCGGGTCCATAGCGCCAGTCGGCGATCTTTGGCTTCTGATCATTGGGCTCGCCGTTGTCGGGGCCCTCCTGGCGCACATCCTCGCTGTTCAGGTCGCTGAGCAGCTTGTCCTCATCGTCGGACATACACTGCGCCGGCGTCGGTTCCGGCCCAAAGTGCATCTTAAAGCCATATCGACGTGGCTCCTCCGTATCGCTGGGCGAGTCCGAGCCGCCCGTGTTGGTCAGCCTCTGGTCGCGTGACTGATTACGCTTGCGGCGACGTTTGCGCACATGTCGCCAAATCTGGGGGAGGCTGCTCGGCTTGCCGGGACCAAAAAGGCGCGAGAAACGCAGCACCTTCTGCGGCCGAAAGTCGGGAAACAGTTCACAGACATTGACGTTCTGATATTTGGAGGGTAGTATGTCAGCAAGGGGAGTATCTAGACGTCGATCGGCCTCAGCTATATATGGAATATATAATGGATAATTATATTCAATTATAGGGTATATTTATATATTGAAGTCAAACCTTTGGCGTCACTCAATTTGGATTCGCTTGATGCATCGCTGGTGCCTGGTTTGGTGGGTGATTCTTCGCTGCCCGAGGACGCTGTGCCGGCACTTCGCATTGGTGCACTAGGCGGCGGCATCAGCTCCTTGTCATCCTTGGCTGTAAATGGCGGGCATTTTGTACAATTCAAGCTTAAACAATGCGCTTTGGCTACTTACTCGGTTTGGCCTCCACCTTTGTGGCTGGTATGGCATCCTCGAGGTCATCGAATGTGGATGCCGAGGTAGTTGCCTCGTCTACTGGCTTTACTGGAGGCGAGGGCGTGCGCGGACAGTCCTCGGATAGCTCATTGATGTCCGAATAGTCGATGGCATCATCTTGCGCCTTGATAGCCCCATCCTCAGACGTCTCGCTGCTGCTCAGACCTGCTTTCAAGGCGTCAAAAGCGCTCAAACCATCGGCAGTCTCTGGCGCCGGTTTCTCATCGACATCATCGTCCGAGTTCACGCCTCCATCGTTCTGATCGATCACTTCGCTCAACAGCGAATCGAGTCCCAATCTGCAAGTGGATCAATCACATATATAATACATTTATGTATAAAAACAAAAGCAAAAACCAACTTGGAGAGGGAGCTTAGATTTTCGCGCAATTCGGCATCAAATGCGCTGCCCTTGTCATCATCGTCGTCCATCAGTTTGCCCTCCGAGTCGATGTTCCCAAAGAGGATCCCGGTCAGATCGATTCCCATGTCGTTTGCAGCGTTGCCCCCGATGGAGCCCTCATCGCTGTCGTTATCCGATGCGGTGTCCATGCTTCTTTGTGCTCTGTTGTGCTCAACTTAATTTGTGTATTACGTTGGTGCACACGTGTAATATTCTACCATTATTTATTTTAAGTATGCACGTAAATATAATTTTTTTATTGAACAGAAATTTTTTTTGCTGAAATGCAGTTGTTTAAAAAAGTGTGGCAGTTTCGAAATACGTGAAAGTTACCCAATTTTTGCTGTGTTTTCGATATGGCGATAGGCAGCTAACAGAAATGACTTAACATTAGCTAAGACTTCAACCTGTGTGTTTCAACCTTGATCATTGCAATCCAAATCAAGATTATTTTGATTATATTAATTGAAGATTATTTTAATTGAAGCAAGGCTTTCGATATTCAGATTGAGTTTTTATTTTGTTATTTTTTGAAAAAGAACAAAACTAGCAGCATATGCCTACCGCTGTTATTAACATTTCACGGGAACAAATTTTGCCGGCACTGTTTTGCTGCTGTTATAATTTCCCTGTCGGGACATTTAAACAATAAAACAGCTGTTTTGGGTTAAATACATTACATTATTTGTCATACTGACGAAATCATCGAACGAATTAAGCTCTTAAAGCAATGGAGGTTGAATTTAGCAAGGAGAACTTTCTGCTGCCCGAAACTAAATATGAATGTGAGTAGACAATAAGAACAACATGAAATATATGCAAGCTAACAGCTGTTAATCTCCCTTAACAGATCTCGATCACACAGCCGATGTGCAGTAAGATTTTTCGTCCACGTTTTCCACTGCAAACTGAATCCTTAACGAAATTGATTTCCAACTTTCTTTGCACAGATTACATGGCTGGGGCTCCACGCTGCTGGAAGCGTTCGAGCAATGCGGTGTGGCAATGTTTGGCTACATGACAGAATTGGATTACGTGTCGGTGGAGACGTGCTACGAGATCGAGGCTAAGGGCGATGACATCGAAGGGCTGCTCTTTCATTTCCTGGACGAGCTGCTCTTCCTCTTCTCGGCCGAACCGTATTTGGTGTGCAAGAAACTGGAAATCACCAAATTCGATTTGGACAACTTTACGATTGTTTGCCGCTGCTACGGGGAACCCTTCGAACTTGGCAAGCATCCGCAGGGCACCGAGGTGAAGGCAATCACATATTCCGCCATGCAAGTGGTCCAAGACGTCGAACGCAGCCATTTCGAAGTGTTTGTTATAATTGATATTTGAGTGACGAGCGGGCAAAAGACAGAGAGAGAGAAGGTAAAGGTATTAAATATGTTTGACATTGTGGTTGTTGTTGTTGTTGCCCGCTTCGCTGAATGCAATTTGCATTTATCCCTGTCTTCATTAATCATAAGTGAAATGCAAAAAAACGAAAAAAGAAACCCAAAAAAAAATCGAAAAAAAATTAATATACAATAAGAAATGCGCTAGACTGTGCCGAAAATCTTTGCAAATCTGTTGTGAGCTGCACCCCAAGTCACGAAAATTAAACCCTGGGGTTGTGCCACATATAGCTGAATGACTTTACAAGAAGCATTCAAAATTTGTGTGTGTTGCGGCTGCAAATGCAATTAGAGCTGCGTGCTACCCTTTTTTTCAGGCTTTGTGAATTCGCAACGTGCTTGATTCCCAGACAACCCTCCCATTTGTGCATTCCCAGACTGCAGTTCAATGCTCTGCCTGAAAAACTAGCCTTTGCCTTTTTGCCTAAAAATGTGTATTATTTTGGGGATATGAATGTTGTTTTGTAGCTATGCAGATATAAATAATCTTTGGTGGTAAGATTAATTTAAAATTGAAATTCATTGGCAACAGGTGACAACCATGGTAAGGCTGTCAACTTACCTGCAACATTTACCATTTTAACAAACAGTTCAGTTAACAGGCGCGCCCGACAGCTGTTTGCACAGCTGATCAACAGCTGTTAAATGTAAACAACAAAAACTGTCCGCCGCTCACGTTGTGGTTTGCGTGTACGTGTGTCATTATGTGTATGTGTATGTGTGTGTTGCACAGATGTATTTACGTTCGTGTGTACCGACTACATTTTGCATTAAATTGTTAGCAACTACAAACTATTTTGAATTCACACAGTAGTCGCGGCTTTGATGAGCGCAAAAAGCAACGCTGTGTGTGCAAGAAAGTGTGTGTAAAAGAACAAACAACACGTACGACGACAACGGCGACGACGACGACGACACCAATACCAGTACACAAGTTGTTCATTTCTCGCTGTTGGTTAACGCGTCGCGTAGTCGCGAGTGTCCAAAAAAATAAAAAATATATATTAAAAATTGGCATACACAGACAGGTACTCGCTCAATTATACAGTTATATTGCAGAAAGTGCGCTTACAGAGTTGGCGCCCTTTTGCCCCGTTTGGACCATAAATTTCCTAAATCAACAACAACAACAACATCGCTGCTGTAACGTCATCATCGCCGCTTTGGCCGCACTTCGCTGCTGTTGCTGTTCAATTCGCTCGCCTCACTCCCTCTCTCTCTCTCTCCCTCGCCCTATGTGTGTGTGTGTGTGTTGTGTGTGTGTCTCTCTCGTTCATTCTTTCTGCAGCCACCAATTGTCATGGTGTCGAAGAGGAAGCATTGAAGCACATTTTGCTTTTATATTTTTTAGGCTACAGTTTTCGCTGAGAAAACGTGCAGTGAGCGGCATTTAACTGAACGCAATCAAAAGGTAATATTGTCAGCTTCAAATTGAGATCAAAACCAAGTGTCTGCCTTAATTAAAAGTGTGTGAAAAACGTGGCAGAAAAATCCATATCCCAGGCAAATAGAGAAACGACAAAAATGCGGTAGGTATGTATGAATGTGTGCATGCCATAGTATTAGAATGTAGAGGCTGCGAAAAATGTGACGTCCGTGTGTATGTGTGCGTATGTGAGTGCGAGTGTGTGTGTGTGGGTGCTGCGCTGGGCATTTTCATTTTAAGCACCCGGTCGGTAGCTGATGCCGGGTGGCTGATGCCCAGCTGACGCGCAGCTGCTGCTAAAGGCAAAGCGCAAAGCGCAAAAAAATAAATGAAGGAGTTTGCATTGCGACTTTCTCTAATGCGCATTTTATATAATCATATTTAATGGCTGTGACACAGCAAACACTGCGATCTGCATTAAGTATTTTATTTGTGAGCCTCTTTTCTGATATGTGGCAATACTGGTCTCGCCGCCCGCTTTTCGATCAACCATCAACCTGCTGCTTCTTCTTTTTCTGCTTCTTGCCTCTTTCTCTTTTGCTTGTATGGCACGCTGCGTATGTGTCCGTGCGTGCGTGTGTTTGTGTGTGTGTGAGTACCAATCTAACGGCTTTATAACTGAACAAACAACTCCAATTCATTGCTTGGGCGGTGACGTCACATTTCATTTGCATTCCCAATTCGAATAATTTGGCACATGTAATTCAGCAATTATTTGTGCCCACTTGCAAAATACCATCATTCAATGAGTTCTGTAAAAGTAGCAAGCAAAATTGTACCAAAAGTTTTGCAAGTAAATTATACACTTATTTTTGACATTTTGCTGACCTATTTATTAACTAAGTTCTCAATGTTGGCTGGAAGGTTGCATTTAGAAACTCTTAAACGATTCGAATTCTGATACTCGAATAATTTAGCCTTGTCTTCAACGGTTTTGCTTGTGAAACACAAAATTGCTTTACCTTAAACAATTTCTGTTTTACTGTTCTCGAGACATTGTTTTGCCGCCTTATCAGTGTATCAATTAACCCAGATATGGTAGGAAAACGAACGCAGAACTCTGAGCACACATTTGATGAGAGACCAAGTTAAACTTTAAAACCAAGCTAGGAAAATACAAATAATTCTTGTTGCTTTCTTGAAACATATATAGCTTTATAATAGTCCCTTCTCCCCTTCTGAACAAATTGTCGTTTAGCTTTAGCTCACCCTTTATTTGCATACCCGTGTATTACGTATTGTAACGCATTGAAGGAGACATCTCTGAAACCATAAGGAATCTGTATTTTTGATCATCTTAAACAGTCCAGTCGATGTGTCTGTTTGTTACTATGCGAAATAGCTTTAAAGTTATCTTGATGAAACTTCGATTGTAAACTTTTGTTGCTGCAGGCAATACTAAATCATATAACTAGCATGGCAACAATATGTCGAAATATGAGTTGATGGATGGAAAACTTGTTTTATTTTTCAATATTCTAGTTACACACACTAGTTACTATTTTAATTATTTTACTAGCATTTGATTAACATATAACATCATATAACTTCTACAGGTAAAATCGTATTTTATATTCAATTTTCAAGGGCATGTAATCTTCGGTTTGCCTAATTTAGAGGTTCTTTCTTGGTTTTAATTTTTATTTTTTTGATATTCTGTCGCGTCGGTGGCGGAGCGACTGCGACGTCATCATAGTTTGATGACCTCCACCCGACGCTGCGTCATCAGTTTTTGGTATTTGCAGTGGTTACTTTTGGCACAGGCGGCGGCAGGTGGCGGTGTGGAGTGGCAAAGGGGGGATAGAGGGAGGTGGCAAGCAACAGATATAACTCATCTTGAGTCTGCATATTTTTGGTCACAGCGTTTTTCTTCTTCTGCTGCTGGTTTGGGTTTGGTTGGCCTTCAGTATTCTCAGTGAGTCGGCTTTGTGAACCAGTTGCTTCTTTACCTGTTCTCCGTTTGGTATACACACAAATGCTGTGATTTCTTCAACTTCTTGCCATTTTGCCCAGTTGCTTTTTATACACACACACACACACACATACACACTGTATATGCATATATATGGACAGATACTTAGTATATATATATATATATTGTTCATGCTTATCGCTCGAACTGGACAAAATTCGTTATATCGATATTATTTTTCATTACGGAAGCAATGATTTGTTCTTTTCGTTTTGTTTTCTTCATCGGCTTAAGGGCGATTGACTGTTTCTCCACAATTGTGATAGCAAATGCAGTCGTTTCCCCTTTGGGGTACCAAGCTCGTCATTTATTTTGTTTTTATTTTTTTGACTTAAACTCGAATCAGTCACAGCATTAGCTGTAACTGTTACTCTTCCAAAGTCACGTGGGAATGCAACAAGTCTTGAGTGAAGATCGTATAAGAGAAGTGTGATAAGATTCTAAGTCTGTGGCAAGCATCAAATCAAGTTCAAATCAAGTTCAACCAAGGCCTGAAAATATATACAAATATAATTATCTGATGTATGTATGTATTTTAATGACAATTACTCAATGAATGAATTAGATTATAACGTTATCAGTTGATGTATTATACGCACATGTGTATAATACATATAAACTTTAATAAAAGATGTTTCATAGTCAATTCATTCAGATTGGTTCGTATTGTAAATATTGCATGATGATTGTATGATTTAGAAACCTTTTCGATCCATGTGGCAACTCCAAAGCCACTTCCTTGTACACTTTGTAATCAGGTTTTCCTGCCAGGCAAAATGTGAACACAAACAAATGTGAACAATGAAATGCTCAATGATATTGATAAGACCACCATGCATGAACGCTAAAAATAATTGTGCATTAGTTATCGCGAGCTGGCGATCTGGCAACGCCAATTGAATCATCCAAATCGGGCTTACACAATCCAATTAATAAACAAATGGCGCACTTGCTTCCAGCGCTCAATTTTCGTACGAGGCTACGTTAAATACCTGTACAACAACAACAACAACAACAAAAGACGCTCGCATTTTATTTTGATTTCGATTTTGACTTTTTTAATTGCCGACTCGCCGCTGCCGCTGCCGCTGCTGCTGCTTGGGTCGTCGTGTCGTGTCGTGTCGATCGAATCGTGTTTGTTTTTATCATATATTGTATGTATTTAGTTGTTGTTGCACTTTTTTATAACCAGGCCGCGGCAGCGCTCACACAGAGAGAAAGAGAGCGAGAAATACCGAGAGAGCGGGGAAAAGAGACACCACACACAAGTCTCCCCGACAAAACGCATGAAAATACTTAAGCGAAACGAGTTAAAAACGATTTCATTAATATGTTTTTGTTGCCTTTTGTTGTTGACTTTTTGTTTTTTTTTATTTTTTGTCGTTTTGGGTTGCGTTCTGCTTTTGATACCCTAAAAGTTGAGCGTATTACAATTGTAGCTCGCCTTGGTTCACATGTCAAGAATTCAATCGCTCGCCGAGCGATATCCAAATATTTCATGTTGGAATCGATGAAAATGTGCCAAATGTTCTACAATCCGAACCCTGAAAGTATGCTATGAATATTGAACTCTTCATATA